AGATTACTGTATAAGATAGCGCTACAATCTCCGAACAAATTGTTCAGATCGGACCACTATAGCATATAGCTGTCATACAAACTGGGCGATCAAAATCAACTTCTTGTATGGAAAACTTTTTATTTGACGAGATATCTTCATGAAATTTGGCATAGATTACTGTATAAGATAGCGCTACAATTTGAGAACATATTGTTCAGATCGGACCACTATAGCATATAGCTGTCATACAAACTGGGCGATCAAAATCAACTTCTTGCATGAAAAAATGTATTATTTGTGAAGGCTATTATGTCTCCGCTCCAACCGAAGTAAGCGTTTTTTTCTAGCCATCCAAACAACAATTGAMGTTTTAGCAGATAACTTGTTGTATAAGTTAATATAAGTGTTTGTATGTATACAAAAAAACAACACAACAAACTGCGTAAGAAGACCAATACAATTATGTAAATACTAGGAGAAAATATAAATCATGAAATGCAAATGAAAGCACGTACAATTGTAATTGTATGGACGTAGTTGCTTGTAGCTAAATATAATTACATATATACAGTAAATATGTATTTGCGTATAAACATCAGCGAAGTGAGATTTCTCAATACTTCATATTCAATTAAGTATAAGCATAACAGAAATTGATTGAATCATAAATTTCGTAGTTTGTGCGTGGTCCACACTTGCAGATAAACAAATAAAATGGAACTCAAACTGTCTATGTTAAAAGCTGCTAGTAAAAGCCAATAATAAATTTAGGAAATGAATCAGAGTCACTTGAATGAATATAGAAGGTATAMATAGATTTAAAGAAGCCGCAAATATTCGTGGATCACTTTTTGTTAAGCTGAGCAAGAATGTAAGTATGGTCACCTTACAAAACCAGTTGATTTACAAAACTTACATTTTACTGTAAATGATTTTAACTACTCCAATCTTAATATGCGTATACATATGTATATTAAAACCTACATACATTTAAATTTTCTAATAAATTAACAATGAAATATAAAATTTAGAATTCATAGCAAAGCTTTTCACACTGAAATACAAAATTCATAATGAAGCTTTTAAGAAACTGATTACTTTATATTAGCCAGTGGTTGTTATTGTTGTTGACACCACTTGACCGGATAAAAAATTCGGGTTCSTTCCGGTTACGTAGGCCCGACTATCATCTATTTGTCAGTAGAAAAGTATGCTTCAAGTCGTAAAGAGTTTACTAGATGAACTTGTGCGATTTTGCACTCGAGTACGACTTACGGTTCAAAACTCGAGCTTTGAATAACTAAAATATCCCTGCGTTATTTACATAAATAATTAAAATCGATTTAAATATTTTTAACGGCATTTCAAAAATCATTTTCGCAAAACGCAGTAAGTAAATAATTTTTTTAAAAGCATTGACGGCAATTAAAATTGATACCGTCAAAACAGGCTAAAAATAGAGTGTGCACAGGTGTTTTTTCAAGCCAAAAAATGTATGTACATACGTAGGTAATT